GGCTGCCACTTCCAGGGAGGGACAGGGGCGGGGCGAGCCTGGAGGTTGGCACAGCGCCCAGCCAGCCCTGTCCCCGGGAGGTCTGGCGGGCTGCGGAGGGGGTGCGGCTGGGGGGGGGGGGCACAGGCATTGTGAGCGACGCCGAGCTAACCTGGGGGGCTGGACGCGGGCTCTGGTCCAACACAGCTTGGACAGGCCGCCATTGTCCAAACGCCCTCCACGTCGATGCTGCACCTGTGTCCGGCTCCAAAGAAAAGTGGGCCCAGGTGAGGGGAGGGCCCGGCCCCACATCCACCTCCCTGGGCTTCAGGAAGGGGCTGGCCGGCATGCCCAGCCCCATGACAGCTGGCTTCCTCCTCTGCTCCCACCAGGCCCCACGGCCCCCCACGGGACCCAGAGGCAGGGCCGGTCACGCTCAGCGCTCAGCGCTGCCACAGGAGTTAACCCCTCTGAAGACTTTAACTCCAAACCAGGCCGAGCTCAGCGGCTCACACCTGGAATACCAGCTACTCAGGAGGCTGAAACGTGAGGATCACACTGCGAAGCCAGCCGAGGCAAGCAAACAGTCCACAAGAAAGCCAAAAGTGGAGCTGTGGTTCAAGTGGTAGAGCGCCAGCCTTGAACAAGGAAAACTCAAGGACAGCCCCACAAATAAAATAAAATAAAAAGTAATGCCAGAGCATTTCTACAAATAGGGGTTGGGTTGGGAGCTTGACACTGGATTACAACCCTCAAGCTCACAGATCGGTGGAATCTCACACCTTCCATTAGAGCCGGGTGATTATATTTAGCCATAAGTGACCGTGTTTTGTATTATTATTCATAAAAAGTCATTGTCAAGAATTAATATTGAGGGGCTGGGAAGGTGGCTCAGTGGTAGAGCGCTTGCCTTGCATGCATGAGGCCCTGGGTTCGATTCCTCAGCACCACATAAGCAAAAAGAAAAAAGCCGGAAGTGGCGCTGTGGCTCAAGTGGTAGAGCGCTAGCCTTGAGCTGAAGAGCTGAGGGACAGCGCCCAGGCCCAGAGTTCAAGCCCCAGGAGCGACACACACACACAAAAAAAAGAATTAATATTGACTATGCATTTAGATCTCCACACATAATGCATAATAATCAAATCAGAGAAGTTTCTCTGTCCCTTAAAATCATTTTTTATTAATTGCTCGCTATTCTTTTCTTCTTTTGTTGTTGTTGTTTTTGTGTTGATCCTGGGTCTTGCACTCAGGACCTGGGCGCTGTCTGTCCCTGAGCTTTTCGGTCCAAGGTTTGCGCTCTACCCCTTACGACACAGCCCTGCTCGTGGTGTTTTTGCTACTTAATTGGAGACAAGAGTCTCAGGGACTTTGCCTGCTCAAGCTGGCTTTCGACCTCATCCTCCGCATCTCAGCCTCCTGAGGAGCTGGGATCACAGGCCTGAGCCACTGGCACCCAACTAATTGCACATTGTTTTCAGGGGATTCCAGAAATCCTAGAAGAGAGAATCTCTGAGCATTTGGAGCACGAAACAATGACCCATGTTGGAGATGATGAATTTGTCCAGGGCTTGTTCTCCATCCAGATAACAATTACATAGGTCAATTTAAAAAGAAAAAAAAATGTCTGGGGGCCGGTGGCTCACGCCTGTCATCCTAGCTACTCAAAGAGGCTGAGAACAGAGGATCACAGTTCAAAGCCAGCCCGAGCAGGAAAGGCTGTGAGACTCTGATCTCCAGTGAACCACCAGAAAACTGGAAGTGGCGCTGTGGCTCAAGTGGTAGAGCGCTCGCCTTGAGCTGAAGAGCTGAGGGACAGCGCCCAGGCCCCGGGTTCAAGCCCCACAACTGGTTAAAAAAAAAAAAAAAACGGTTTGACATAGAATAAATTCCCCCCATATACCAACACCACTGGTGTGAGAATCGGGTGCTTGCAAGAAGCCGCTACTGGCTCACGCTGCTATTGAAACCCCCTATTGGTCACATTGAGCTCACTCCAGAACCCCGGGGGCGAGGCCGGCCAGCGACCATCTGTGACAATATGTCTACCCCGGTGAGCTGCTTTGGCAAGATCACAACCTGGCTTTTCTCACCCAACGACGCAAGCCTGGAAAGGAACAGACACGAGGGGGAGGGCAGGGATCATGCCTCCTTTGGCTTCCAGGCCACGCAGTCATTTCCAGAGCACACTAACCTCTGCCCTGAACTGCCACCATTCATTGCTCCCTGCCCTTCCGGCCTTCCTGCTCCTCTGCCTCCTCCCCACGATCTTCACCACCCCACGCCCCCCCTCAGCCATGACCAGAACTGAATCCCACAAAGGGGTGAGTGTATCACCATTCCCTAGGGGAAAATACCTATCTGTCAAACTACCTGTCCATCCACCCCTCCCATCTACGCACCTATGTCTCCATCCGTCCATCATCTATCTACTTAGCTACCAATAATTGATCATCTAATATCTACAGAAGTTCTTTGATTCACTCCTCAGAGAGTGATCTGGACCTGTCCCTCCTTACAGGACTTGTGGCCTTTCTAACTATCCATCCAGTCCCACTGGTTGTCTATCTGACAGTGATGAAGGCAGTGATTCCATGGGTCATGTTTACTGCTACAATGCAGTCTCTGCTCATTTCAAATACATGGCTCAAGTCCAACACCAGTGGCTCACGCCTGTAATCCTACCTACGCAGGAGGCTGAGATATGAGGATCGTGGTTCAAAACCAGCCTGGGGCAGAAAAGGCCATGAGATTCTCTTATATCAAATGAACCTGCAAAACCCAGGCTGGAGGCCTGGCTCAAGTGGTAGAGCTCCAACCTCGAGAAACTTTGAGAGTCTGAGTTCACACAATAGTACTGGGGGAAAAAAACCTTCCCTTTTAGAAAAAAAGGCTCTACCACTTGAGCCACTGCACCATTTCTGGCTTTTTCTGAGTAGTTTATTGGGGATCAGAGTCTCACGGACTTTTCTGCCCGGGCTGGCTTTGAAATGCGATCCTCAGATCTCAGCCTCCTGAGTAGCTAGGATGACAGGCGTGAGCCACCAGCGCCCATCTTCAGAACTGGTTTTACGATACCAAAGAAAACAAGCCACAAAGGAAAAGTTGTCTAAATTCAGCACAGTAAACAAAAAAAGTGCTGTTGATCAAAAACATTCTTAGAAAGAAAGAAAACTCAGCCCAGAGGAGATGTTACACAGCCCGAAATGAGTGACAAAGGGCTCATTACCACAATATGCAAAGATCACCTACAAATCAATACGCGAAAAAATGAAAGCCTAGCTCGCAATCCAGTCGGAATTCTTGAAGCTGGAGGCAGCAGCAGAATGAAATGATGAACATCAAGAGCGTATATAGATATATAGATATTCATACATACATATTTCCCTGTCTCTAAGCAGGGATTGCAAGCTGTGAGGCCCCAATGCAAACCCAGCAGCACAAGTGAGAAAAGCATGATGAAAACAAATGTGGCCACATCAAATTTGCTGACAGGGTTGTGCGGCCGCCAGAATGCCGCGGCAGCTGAGCAGGAACGTGGGGTCCTGCCAGTGCTCAGGACTGTGACTTTTGTTTTTGGTCAGTCTTAGGGCTTGAACTCTGGGCCTGGGCGCTGTCCCTCAGCTCTTCAGCTCAAGGCGAGCGCTCTACCACTTGAGCCACAGCGCCACATCTGGTTTTCTGGTGGTTTACTGGAGATAAGAGTCTCAGGGACTTTCCTGCCTGGGCTGGCTTTGAGCCAAGATCCTCAGATCTCAGCCTCCTGAGTAGCTAGGATGACAGGCTTAGCATGCCCCCCCCCCCGCCCCCCTCCGTACTTGGATCAGGGAAGTATTTAGTCAAGTTGAACATGCACAAAACATCATGGTCAGCACTCTCACACAGAGGAGGCAAACCTCCATTGACACCCAGCAATGAGGGTCTCCCCAGACAGGAAGGAACCCATTCGTTCATCCTCCACGAACAAGAACTTGACCATGAACAGGCTTCAAGGCCCTGCAGTCAATGAGAACCACTGAGTCAGACACAAAACAACCCCACGGCGGAATTCCAGTCCCAGGCAACTGGGTAGCTGCTGTTTATTCTTCCTCTGTCTTTCTTTCTGTCGGCCTGTCTACACTGTGTCTCAGTGTCTGTCTGTCTGACTCTATTTCTCTATGGTGCACACACACACACACACACACACACACACTCACACACACACAGAATCAGATAAACACAGGAAGAACAAGAACACAGAGCTCAAGGAGCCAGATAGTAAAAGGTTTGGTTGTTGTTGTTGTTTTTTAATATATATATATATATTTTTTTTTTCTTTAAGAAAGAAAATACCCAGACAGAAAACACAAGACAACAGACACAGGAAATGAAAATGGGTGTTGGGTGGCAGAAGGCAAGGACACGGGAATGAGAAATGGGGAGATAGGAATAGACGGACTGAAGACAAGATGGGCCAAGATAAGGAATGGGACCTAGGAGCTGCAAGCGGCCGCCTCCCATCTGACTCCCCTCTCTCTGCCTTCCCTTCCTCCATTGCGCGCTCGCTCTCTCCCCCCTCCGTCCATCTTACAACACACACACACACACACATCAACACTTTTTTGTCGGATAGGGTCGTGCAGTGTATCTCAGGCTGTCCTTGAACTCACAGCTTTCTGCCTTTCTCACCCCACTGCTGGGATTACAGGCATGCACTACCATGCTGGTCCTCTACCGCGCCTCCCTCTCCCTCCTTCCCCCCTTCTCTCCCCCTCCTTACCTCCCTCTCTCCCTCCCCCCCTCTCCCCTCCCTCCCTCCCTCTCCCCCCCTCCACCCTAATACATTTTTATCAAGTGATCAAAACAGCGTCTGAAGCAGGAGGGCCGGGAGCGGGCCGCCCACGGCGGCGCACGGCCTCCACGCCGGGCCTCCTGCCCAGCTCCGGTGCCCAGGAAGCCGCGGGGCTGCGGGACCTGGCCGCCTGCGGCTCTCGCCCCTCATTAGCTCCACTATCAAAGAGGACTTGTAGGCCTCATTTATTAAACATTTACCGGGGAGACACCCAGCTGGGCTGAGCCTCTGGTCGGTGGCAGCGCCGCGCGCGGAACACGGCGCCCGCTGCTCGGATCAGCCAGGATCCGCGGGGCCCCGCGGGCGCCAGGCGCTTCCAAGCCACGCGGGTAGATAAACGCCCTCGGGAGAAATGGGGCACAAGGGCTGGTGAGCCTGGGGTCCCTCCGGGGTGGAGGAAACACGCTGGGATTCAATGGCTGCGCCCCGAACGCGCCAAACGGAATATGGGAAGCAGAAGAAAGTAGGTGGGGGCGTGGCTAGGAGGCGGTGGGCGTGGCTTGTGGGTGGGCGTGGCTGTGTTGAGAGGTTGTGGCTCTGGCGAGAGGCGTGGTTTGTGGTGGGTGTGGCTCAGCGATGGGGCCAGGGGTTCCTTGGCGGTGGGCGTGGCTGGCTGGAGGCGTGGCTAGCACGGGGGCGTGGCTGGCGTGGGGCGTGGCTGGCGGGAGAGCATTTGCCTGGGCTCCATCCTCAGCACCACACACACACCAGAAAAATGGAGCCATGTACCGCCACGCGCATGCCGCCTCGGCTTTCTTTTCTTCCGTCTTGTTTTGATGGGTGCGGCTGGGACGGACCCCAGGGCCTCGGGCATGCTAGGCAAGCCCGCTACCCCCGAGTTCTACCTCCAGCCTTCCTTTTTTTTAAAAAAAATGAGGAAAATAAAAAGCTCACATCAAAACTCGCTTTAAACAGGAGCTGAGCTCTAGCTATTAGACAGCCGCCAGACCATTGACCTCTACTCTGGAAACGAGCACTCATTCACAAAGGGAGCGCTGACTGCCCGGGCCAGGCACTGGGCTCAGCACTCGGGATTGTCAAACCACTGATTCATCACAGACCAGCGGGGCGGTGCCGGCAGGCCCAGAGACACAGAGAGGAGGAGCCTGCAGCCCACAGAGGCCAAGCGGCGCACCCAGAGGTCACACAGCTCCAATGATAAACCACCTACTCACTACCCAATGACCCTCCACCTGAGCTAAACATTAGAGAGCTTGGAGGAATTGATGCTATAAAGGTCAGGCATCATGGTACACACCTATAACCCCAGCACGTAAGAGCCTAAGGTAGATGGATGGATGGACATATGGATAAACAGATAAGTGAGTGGATGGATGGATGGATGAACTAGGTAGATGGATGAATGGGTGGATGGATGTTAGATGGATGGAGAATGGATAGATAGATAGAGAATAGATGGATGGATGGATGGGTATATGGATAGATAGATGAACCAATAGATAGGTAGATGAATGGATGGATGGGGATGGACAGGTGTGTAGGTAGATGGATGGATGGGCATGAGGATGAACAGATGAGTGAGTAGATGGATGGATGGATAGAGTAGGTTGATGGATGGATGGATAGATGGAGTAGGTAGATGGATTAATAGAAACTGATGGATAGATGATGGATGAATGGAGGGATGGGTGGGTGTGTGGGTGGATGGATATATGGATAGATAGATGAATGGGGAGATGGATAGTTGGATGAATGGATGGATGTGTAGGTAGATGGATGGATGGGCATGTGGATGAACGGATGAGTGAGTGGATGGATGGATGGGTGGGTGGGTGGGTGGGTGAGTGGAAAGGTAGATGGTGATGGGTGTTAAGCCCTGAGTATGGGGATGGAGGGCAGCATTCATCATGCCAAGAGCCCAGAGAAAGTGAGGCATGCCTTCAGAACCAGGCGACAGGAGGAGGAGAAGGAGGAGGAGGAGGAGGAGAGGGAGGAGGGGGAGGAGGGGGAGGGGGAGGGGGAGGAGGAGGAAGAGGAGGAAGAAAACGGGAGCAGTGGCAGCTTTCATGACAACACTTCCAACTCCAGCTGAGATTGCCTTCCATACACTCATCTATATTTATATCAACGAATCTGTCTGTAGCAGGCTTGTTGTTGAGCGTGTAGGATCTAAAGTTCACAGAAAACTGACTTCGACACCCAGCTAGGAAGACAAACTGTAAATTAAATTTAAGTCACCCCCAAAACCCTACATCCACCCACTCCCCTCAAAGAAATTCCAGGCCATCCTGACAGCAGGGATTTCACCACACGGGGCTGAATAACTCCTTCGTCTGCGGGCTGCCCCCGGGCCTTTGCAGATGCTTTAAATACCCCCTGCTTCCTACCCCTCTAGGTGTCAGTATCTCCTCACCCCCCCCCCCCACAATCCGGCATTCGTGACTACCAAAAATGGCTTCAAACTTTTGCCAAAAGTTTCCCTCAGGAACAGAAAAAAGAAAGAAAGAAAGAAAGAAAAATCACCACCACCACCTCCAGTTTTCAAATGTAACTGTGCAGCAGGGAACCCAGGAATGTTGCGAATTGATGATCTTTGGCCATTGTCAGCAATTCTCACAATCTACCTGGCTTCTGGGGGAAAGAAAATCCCTTCCTAGACTCCAAGAAAGCACTAAGAACAGTTTTTAGCTGTACAGAGACCAGGTTTCTGTCCTGAAAAGCAAAATCAGGACCAAGGACAGCGCCTCGTCCGCTATGGCAGCCACAGGGAGTACAATACCATCAGATACGAATGGTATCTGGGTTCTGGGTTGTTACCACCAACCCATACAGCACCGGCGTGTGAATTTCAACAAGACATCCATTCTCAGGATGTTAGGGTCATCTGTCACAAAGGGTCACAATAAAGACCCCTGAGCTGCCCTCCGTTCCCATACTGCCATAATAAACACACAGCTCTCTGATGCCCGTGAGGTGTTAATGGGGTGCTTTGGGGCAGTGTACAACCTGAGCAACTGCACAGGGCAGCACTGGTATGTTCCCAGAGGAGTGAGTGGCAGAAAGGAACGAGATGAAACACATGAAAATGTTTTCAGGGCTGGGAAGGTGGCTCCGTGGTAGAGCACTTGCCTCGCATGCATGAGGTCCTGGTTTCAATTCCTCAGCACCACATAAGCAGAAAAGCCAGAAGTGGCGCTGTGGCTCAAGTGGTAGAGCACTCACCTTGAGCTGAAGAGCTGAGGGACAGCGCCCAGGCCCAGAGTTCAAGTCCCATGACACACACAAAAAATAAAGAGGAAGAGAGGCCCCTTACTGGGCCAGCTTTGAACAACAGTGCTTCAGGCACGAGAAAAGAGCCAAGGCCAACACCTTGAGAAGCAAATGAGCTGTCTTAGCGCAAAGAGCAGAGAATGGGAGGGGTTGAACACCAAACAGGGGCCAGATCCACCCATCTGCCCATCATCCATCCATCTCCCTGCCCATCCACCCGCCTATCCATCATCCATCATCCACCCATCCATCTACACATCCAACCACCCATCATCCCTCTATCCACCTATCCATCCATCCACTGACCATCTATCCATCCATCTACCCATCCAACCATTCATCATCCATCCATCCACCCACCCATCCATCATCCGTTCATCACCATTCATCAAGCCACCTGTCCATCTACCCATCCACCCACCTATCCATCATCCATCATTCATCCACCCGTCCATCCATCTGCTCATCCATGTGTCCAGACCTCCATCCTTTCTCCCAGAATGCCAGGGAGAGAGAATAGAAGTGATGGCAACCAACCAAATGCAGGGGTGTGGGTGCATGGGAATCATCTAACCTCTGGCTGGTGTATAACCATCCCAGGTGTGTGCCCAGTGTGCCTGGCAGACAGCTATCCACCATGATTTGCTTACTATTTGACCCACCCACACAGAGGAAACTCAAAGAAATCCCACTTCCAGTCCCAGTGCTGAAACAAACCAAAAACAAGGTGTCTCCAAAATTGTAATAGGAGTTGTCAAAAACGCTGTTTTCTTCATCATTATCCAATTAAATATTCAAGCAAGACACGGCTTAGGGAGAGCTGAGGGATAGAAGCAGAAATCCCTGTCTTCTACCTCCAGGAAATGCTAACTCGAGGTGTTTGGCAAAACATGCAATGCTGCTGGCGTCCATAAAAGCAGGTGGCATTTAATAGTCACTGGGAAAGGCACCGCAGGGCCGGAAGCAGAGACACTTGACCATCCCCAAGTCAATAAGAACCCCAGAAGTCCGAGGGAAAAGCCAAGCACTCACCTCCACCCAGGGTACCCAACTCCCCTCTTCCCACCTGTCCGCTTTCCAATCTAACCAGGGTCAGCCTGTCTACTTATCTATGCCCACATATCCACCCGTACACCAGCCCTTCCAAACACTCACCATCCATCTACCCATTGGTCCACACACCTCTCAGCCAGCAGCCAGTTCATTTAGTCATCTACCTATCCTCACCCAATCTCCCAGCCACCAAATATTCATCCATCCTATCCGCCTCTCATCCATCTTCCTTCATCCCACCCATCCTTCAGTCCACCAGTCCATCTGTCCATCAATCCATCTGTCCATCCATCCCTGCATGCAATCATCCATCCACCTAACCATCTGTCCATCCATCCATCCGTCTACTTGCACTCATCGACCCATTCTTCATCCATCCACCTACCCGCTCTCTCAAGAGCATAGGAAGGGGCAGGGCAACACACTTCAAAAGCCTGCCATGAGACCTAGTCACTTCCTTTGTTTTGATATGCTGAGAATGGAAGAGGGAAGGGATGGCTAGGCAAGCTCTTTATCATGGAGCCAGGGCCCTGCTGCTGAGCCATGCCCCCTAGCACTGAGCCATGCCCATTAATGGTGAGCTTAATGCAAGCCAATACAAGAGGTGTATGTTCATACAGCATGCAGCTGGTGTCTCTGAAGTGCTAACAAGTCTACTGACTCAGCTTCATTCAAGTGAATGCCCTGACTTCGTTAATTCATTCACAAATTATTGACTCACACACTCTCACTCTTCACAGTAGCTAAATAACAACAACAACAACAACCAAGAAACATCCCAAATGCACATCATTCGGGAAAGCTGACATATCAATGTTTGAGTCATCCCAGAATATTATACAGCACTGAAAAATAGAAATGACCGGCAGCTACACTAAAAAAAAAAAAAAAAAAAAAAAACCAAACTCTCAGAAGCATAAAATGGAGTACAACAAAAAAGTACAGAGAAGAAGAAAAATCAGATGCATATTATTAAAAGACATTGAAGAACTACCTAATCATTCTCTCATCAAATAGAAATGCAAAGCCGAGCACTGGTGGTTCACACCTGTAATCCT